CTCAATGGTCTTCTTTCCTCTCTTCCTTCAGGTGTCTTCTCCGCTCTCTATGTCGATGATCTTACCCTTTGCTGTCAGGGTGATGATTCGCCTCTCCTTCAGTGCCGGCTTCAACTTGCAATTGATGCCGTGTCGTCTTGGGCCACCGATCATGGCTTCAAGTTCTCTACTTCTAAGACTTGTGCCATGACTTTTACGCGGAAACGGGTCGTTCTTCGTCCCTCTTTGTCACTTTATGGTCATCCCCTTGAGTACAAAGATTCCGCGAAGCTTTTGGGGTTATTCCTTGACACTCGTTTGTCTTGGTCTCCCCATATCTCTTACCTCCGTGTTGAGTGCTGTAAGGCCCTTACCCTCCTTCGGGTCTTGTCCCATACGTCTCGGGGGCAGATAGGCGCACTATCCTTGCTTTACATTCCTCTCTCGTCCTGTCTAAGCTCGATTATGGTTGCCCTGCTTACTCGTCTGCTTCTCCTTCTACTCTTCGCCGTCTTGATGCTTTGCACCATACTGGGTTGCGCCTCAGTTCTGGTGCCTTTCGTTCGACTTCCGTCCTTAGCTTGTATGTTGACACTGGCTTCCTGTCTCTCCAAGACCGCCGTGATCGCTTCTGTCTTCGCTATCTTGCGCGGTCCTTACAACATCCTTCCTCTCGCCTCTGTCGTGCTTTAACTTTTACCCCTCCTGCGGTTCCTGTTCCTCTTCACCACCTCCCTCTTTCTGCCCGGTTATCTCGCCTACAGGACTCTCTTTCCGTTCGTATTTCTAATGTTTCTCCTCGTGTTGTTCCTTCTTTGCCCCCATGGAGAGTCTTCGTTTGCCTCTTCCGCGGTTTTGTACATCCTTGACCTGTATCACTAAAGCTTTTACCCCTCCTACGGTTCTAAAACGCCTTTTCCTTGAGCAGTTTTCTTCTCACTCCCGCTCCGTTTCTGTCTTCACCGATGGGTCTAAGTCAGCGGACGGTGTTGGCTACTCTGTTGTTTTTCCTGATTGCACTTATATGTGTCGCTTACCTCCGGAGACTAGCATCTTTACAGCGGAGCTTTATGCTATTCTCTATGCTCTTCGTCTCCTGCTTTCTCATTGTCAGTCTTCCTTTGTAGTTGTTGTTGACTCTCGTAGTGCCCTCATGGCTCTCGGGTCCTTTAATCCGGTTCATCCAGTAGTTGTCGAGATCCAGCATTGGCTGTTTCTTGTTCACAGTAAATTTAAGTTGGTTGAGATTTGTTGGGTTCCCAGCCATATTGGTGTGTCTTTAAATGAGCGTGCGGATGCTGCCGCCAAGGAAGCTGTCCGCTCTTGTCCCATCTCTCGTAAAGGTATTCTGTATTCCGACTTTTACCCGGTTATCCATTCCTCCATCCTTACCCGATGGCAGGCTTCTTGGTTGTCTGTTACTGGTAACAAACTACGTACTCTTAAATGTTGTGTTTCCTCGTGGCCGTCCTCCTTCCACCGTAACCGGCGGTGGGAAACAGCTCTGGCGAGGTTGTGTATTGGCCATACTCGCTTAACCCATGGTCACTTGATGGAGCGCTGCCCTGCTCCTTATTGTCCTAGTTGCATTGTCCCTCTTACGGTCGTGCATGTCCTTCTTGAATGTTCTGACTTCCAGGACGAGCGTGTGTCTTGCTTTCCGACCGCCCCTCGCGGTCACCTGTCCCTCAATAGAATTCTTGGTGACTCGGATACTTTTGATATCGTTCGCCTTATGCGTTTTTGTTCTTGTATTGGCATCCTTGGTGATATTTAGCGCCCTCTGATTATTTTCCGCATTTGATGGTGCTACATAGCCTTCCCGGTTTGGTGCCTTCTTTTGATAATTACTTACTTACTCCCTCCGGAGACTAGCATCTTCACAGCAGAACTTTATGCTATTCTCTATGCTCTTTGTCTCCTGCTTTTTCATTGTCAATCCTCGTTTGTAGTGGTAGTTTACTCTCATAGTGCCCTCATGACTTTGGGGGTCCTTTAATCCAGTCCACTCGGTGGTCATCGAGATTCAACATTGGCTGTTTCTTATCTCCAGTAAATTTAAGTCAGTAGAGTTTTGCTGGGTTCCCAGCCATGTTGGTATCTCTTTAAATGAACGTGCGGATGCTGCCGCTAAGGAAGCTATCCGCACTTTCCCATCTCAAGTAAAGGTATTCCTTATTCTGACTTCTACCCAGTTATTCATTCCTCCATCATTGCCCGTTGGCAGGGTTGTTGGTTTTCTGTTACTGGTAACAAACTACATACTCTTAAGAGTAGTGTCCCCCCATGGCCGTCCTCTTATCATCATAACCGGCGATGGGAAACAGCTCTGGCTAGGTTACATATTGGCCATACATGTTTAACTTGCAGTCACTTAATGGAACGCCGCCCTACTCCTTATTGTTCAACTTGCATTGCTCCTCTTACAGTCATGCACATTCTTGTTGAATGTCCTGACTTCCAGGATGAGCGTGTGTCTTGCTTTCCGACTGTCCCTCGTGATCAATTGTCCCTCGATAAAATTCTTGGTGAATCGGATACTTTTGATATAATTCGTCTTACGCGTTTCTGTACTCGTATTGGCATCCTTAGTGATATTTAGCGCCCTCTGATTAATCCGCACATTTGGTGGTGCTACATAGCCTTCCCAATTTGGTGCCTTCATTTGATAATTACTTCTTACCTTAAACATTACACTACATTTCCACCAAGGTTAGAGATCTCCGAACTTGAAATGGATCACTGAGTTTAAAAGAACCCAGTTATGGAGGAGTTTGTGACATGCATATACATATTAAATAATTGTTTAGCCAAATACATTTGGTTAACGTTTGTATAAATGGATCATTAAAAAAGGCAGGACACTGTTTAAAGTGTTTTGAGTGGATGCCTTGCAAGAAACAGTGAAAACTGCATTTATACATATTATTTTTTACCAAGTGGTAAGTAGAGATTTTTCCATTTTCAACAGATTAACCCTTGAACTGCGCAACACGTCATATGAAGTGTTGAGTAACATGCTATAAATTGCGCATCACATCCGATGACGTGTTGAGGACTACACAAGATTTAAACGACCCACCCGCGGATACACGGAGTTCACCTCACCTTCATTAGGGCTCTTGTAAACACACGCCTTTTTTTTTTTTTTTTTTTTTTTTTTAATATTTTGGGCCACATTCCCGGGTGTGAGGTCCACATTACTGATTGCACGTAGCATGAGCTCACAGCACTGCTGTTCAGCTTGTGACCACAGCATTGCCTAAAAATACCATAATAATATATATATATATATATATATATATATATATATATATATATATATATATATATATATATATATATATATTCGTACCTAGTAGCCAGAACGCACTTCTCAGCCTACTATGCAAGGCCCGATTTGCCTAATAAGCCAAGTTTTCCTGAATTAATATATTTTCTCAAATTTTTTTCTTATGAAATGGTAAAGCTACCAATTTCATTATGTATGAGGTCAATTTTTTTTATTGGAGTTAAAATTAACGTAGATATATGACCGAACCTAACCAACCCTACCTAACCTAACCTAACCTATCTCTATAGGTTAGGTTGGGTTAGGTAGCCGAAAAAGTTAGGTTAGGTTAGGTTAGGTAGGTTAGGTAGTCGAAAAATAATTAATTCATGAAAACTTGGCTTATTAGGCAAATCGGGCCTTGCATAGTAGGCTGAGAAGTGCATTCTGGCTACTAGGTACGACATATATATATATATATATATATATATATATATATATATATATATATATATATATGATATTATTTAGCAATGATAGTAATACAGAAGACCCCCCCGGACTGTGATAAAAATGACCAGGATTCTGATAATAGCACGATTGTTGTGATAATTAGCGCTGTAATAGGAGTAGTAATCATGGGGGGGGGGAGGTAGTGTTGTCTGCTGACTCTGTTTGACCACCTTTTACTGTCTGGACTCACTATACCAGCTTAGTTGTTCGCTATGGTGAACAAAACATGCAGATGCTTATATGTAATCTGTATATAGTGAATAAAAGCAAAAACAGTATGGTGGGAGGAGAATGGTGGCGAGTCAGGTGAGGTGAGGGCGGGAGGGAGTGACAGCCAGTGGCGGGCTGCCACTGCCACTCAGCATACCAACTTAGTGGTTCATTATGGTGAACAAGACATGCAGATATGTATATATAACCTGTGTATATAGTGTAATAACCGACAAAGAATTTGTTTATTGTTTTATGAACACAATAATTGAATCAATAATAATTTTGAGTACAGCGATGATTTACACATTTTATCATATAAATATATCACACTACACACTATTGAATAATATTACAGAAAAAACGAAGAAAAATCAGAGTCATTGAAATAATTAGGTAATTATTTCTTTGTAGCCATTCCTGCCTGACAGCTGGGACTGATAACACCGCCTCGGATGCACACTGAGTCAGTGCCTCTATTTTGCCAGACTTTCCCGCCCTATAGCGGGCAAAATATGCCACATACGATTTTTTTATTATTTTTTTCTGTGATAAGGGAACACAAATTAACAGATTAAGAAGATTTTTTTTTTTTTTTTTTGTTATGCACCTGTAGGTGACAACAGCCAAATAGCCCTTAGCAACACAAGGGTTTATGTTGACTCTTTAACTTCATCCCAAACTTTAGCCCAGTTGTAAATGGCTTCCTTAATTGATTATTTTTTGTAACGTTCCAGTGTTACTTGACCTTGCGAATCGGTTCCTTGTCTTTTGTCTTCATCTGACTCAAACACCACCATGATTTCTTTATTCATTGCTTGTTTGTAGAGCCTTTTCATTGCATATATAACACCCATATCCATTGGCTGGATCAGAGAGGTGGTATTTGGAGGCAAGGCCATACATTTGATGCGTCCAGAATGTGACGGTAATGTGTCGAGCCCTACATGAGCTGGGACATTGTCAACCAAGAGTAATGTCTTGACACCATTCCATCTCGCTCCACACTTGTTTATCTGAGAATCTCTTACTTCTTTGCAAAATGATTTTTGAACCAGTCTACAAAAATATCTCCAGTAAACCAAGCTGTTTTAGAGTTGTGGTAGACCACATGTAGCTTGTTCATTAAATTTTTCAAAGCACATGGGTTTTTTAACTTCCCTACAATAGCAGACTTTGTTCTGTGACTTCCGTCTGTATGTGCACACAGTATGGAAGAAACTTTTTCTTTGTTTACCTTACGGCCAGGAACACATTCATCTAGCCTAGATGCCAAAGTGTTGTTCTGCAAGCATGTCCAATTAAAGCCTGTTTCATCGGCATTGTATACCTGAAAACGCCTTGGATCATTTGTTATTATGTAATCATTTAATTTACGCTTAAATGGCTCGACAGAATCCGTATCTGCACTTAGTGATTCTCCACAAACTTTCCTGTTCTTAATATTATGCCTATTCTTAAACCTTTGCAACCATCCTTCACTTGCTCGAAAATCTGGAATGTTCATCTTCTGTGCAAATTTATCGGTTGCTGTCTTAATGGCATCGCCGCCAAGTGGCATCCCCACAGAGCGCTCCTGGTTAAACCATTTATACACAGCTTCGTCTAAATTTGTATTTGTAGAACCTTTTATTGTTTAACTTTTAATTTAATGCACCACTATCACTCGAAGCAAGGAAGTTCTTAATATCATCTTTGTCTCTTGATATCACACACCGTACTTTTCCTGACATTAAATTCTGCTGCCAGCCTAGTAAGAGTAGCCACGTTCATGTTTCTCTATTATGTCTAATTTCTGCTCAATGGATAAAAAACTTCTCCTCCTTTTTGTAGATACAAAATGATTAGCATGCCCTTGAGACATCTTGTTGTATAATAATACAGCAGTAGTAAAAAAATGGCAAATTCCACAATTATTCTTTCACCGGCGGACAAACACGTCACTCGCAGACAAAGCTAATGGCACTGAGTGCCTGCTGTATGAATGCAGACTAGGTCTATACACCCCTCCAGTAGGCTGGTGTTTAACCAAGCGTTTTTGGAGACCCAAACAGGAGTCTCCCCAATGCAGGACAATGCGGCTAAGCGGGTAGCTGCACCCTAAGAAGGAGCCGCGACGACACATGTACCGAAACAGGTGGGGTTAAAAGTAACAGAGGCATCTACCGAATCAACAAGGTGTTTATGGAAAAATTGTCAGGTGGTGTAGAATCTAAATGGAGGAGATCAAAGTATTTAGCCCACAAAGCAGGACCAAACAAGGCGTTGTACGTACAGTACAACCTCGATTCAACGTACCCCAATTCAACGAATCTCTGAATAGTTCGTACACTTTTCAGGCCAAATTTACTCACCCGGTTCAACGAACAATGGTTCGCCGAAACGGGGATGTTCAGATTTCCTTACGATGTTGAGACAAAGTTCACAGACTGGTGGAAAACTTCCCCAACCTATCACAGATTACAATTAATAATTCCTTCATATGACAAGTTGGATCACACAATTAAGTGGACCACACAACAAGTGAACCATATGAACCAGACACCAGCCAGCATGGTCCACACTGCAAGTGAACCATATGAACCAAACACCAGCCAGCATGGTCCACACTGCAAGTGAACCATATGAACCAAACACCAGCCAGCATGGTCCACACTGCAAGTGAACCATATGAACCAAACACCAGCCAGCATGGTCCACACTGCAAGTGAACCATATGAACCAGACACCAGCCAGAGTGGTCCACACTGCAAGTGAACCATATGAACCAAACACCAGCCAGCATGGTCCACACTGCAAGTGAACCATATGAACCAGACACCAGCCAGAGTGGTCCACACTGCAAGTGAAACATATGAACCAAACACCAGCCAGCATGGTCCACACTGCAAGTGAACCATATGAACCAGACACCAGCCAGCATGGTCCACACTGCAAGTGAACCATATGAACCAGACACCAGCCAGCATGGTCCACACTGCAAGTGAACCATATGAACCAGACACCAGCCAGAGTGGTCCACACTGCAAGTGAACCATATGAACCAAACACCAGCCAGCATGGTCCACACTGCAAGTGAACCATATGAACCAGACACCAGCCAGAGTGGTCCACACAAATGAACGACTAAATTTCCATGATTTTCGTTCACTGATCTGTGGCACAGGTATCTTTGTAAATTAATTTAAAGGCTGAAGCATGATTAGTTAGCTACATGTGGTAAAATCTCCTTATAGACATTTTCTGTGATGAAACAAGGTGAGTGAGGGTGGACAGATAAGGGAATACTGTACTGTAAACCTCACTTGGTTTTCCTTCGTCTGTGTCGTCATAGTTCAGTGGTCCATGACATTGAAAGTTTCAGATTAATAAATAATTTCTAAACCCAGTGTTTAAATAGCTTTTTATTATCCTAATTAAACTAGACTAAACTAAATAAAACCAAAAATATACTGTAATATGATAGACATCTGCTATTTGAGAAATTATTTGTTACAGTATTGGAACAATAACTCCGGCACGAGGGGACGGGTCTAATCCTCGTACACACAGCACCATGCGTGTTTCGTTCGATTTCGTCGCGACAGTTCAGTGACATACGGCTTCAAAATAATAAAATTAATAAATCGGTTCTAAAATAAGTTTTTTATATCTCTTATTATCCAAATAATGTTACTAAACTAAATATATAACCAAAAAATATATAATTTGATGTAAATCCAATATTTGAGAGAAATTTATGTTACTGGATCTGACTTAAGAAATTGTTGGAAAAAAAAAACTCCTGTTGCTTGATCATGCTGATGAAGTGACTGAGGAAGAAATGGATTTTGAGAGATTTTCAAATGATATTCATCAAGAACTGTGTGCCGCTGGTGAGGCGGAGTTCACGCTGAACGATGTGGAGGAGTGGTTAGATATTGATGCACTCGATCCACCCATTGGTCATTTAACAGATGATGAGATTATACAAAATGTTACTGGCACTGTTGACGACGACGGAGAGGAAAATGAGGATGAGAATTATAGCAATTTACAATCTGCTACATGTGCTGACGCATTGTTCTATGTTGAACTACTCCTTGATATTGTTTCACAAACTGCCAATCCAGAGCCACCAGGTTTTTATCAACACCTAAGGATAATGAAAGATATTTGTCTCAAGGACATGACAAAAGGAAGGAAAAAAACGAAAATGAGTCAATATTTTTAACGAACTAACAGAAAATCGACCAGCATAGCCGTGCCCTGCACCAGCATAGCCGTACCCTGCACCAGCATAGCCGTACCCTACACCAGCACAGCCGTACCCTGCACCAGCATAGCCGTACCCTACACCAGCACAGCCGTACCCTGCACCAGCACAGCACGCCGTACCCTGCACCAGCACAGCCGTACCCTGCACCAGCACAGCCGTACCCTACCAGCACAGCCGTACCCAGCACGAGCACAGCCGTACCCTACACCAGCATAGCCGTACCCTGCACCAGCACAGCCGTACCCTGCACCAGCACAGCCGTACCCTGCACCAGCACAGCCGTACCCTGCACCAGCACCGTACCCAGCACCAGCACAGCCGTACCCTGCACCAGCATAGCCGTACCCAGCACCAGCACAGCCGTACCCTGCACCAGCATAGCCGTACCCAGCACGAGCACAGCCGTACCCTACACCAGCATAGCCGTACCCAGCACGAGCACAGCCGTACCCTGCACCAGCACAGCCGTACCCTGCCGCATAGCCGTACCCTGCACGAGCACAGCCGTACCCTGCACCAGCACAGCCGTACCCTACACCAGCATAGCCGTACCCTACACCAGCACAGCCGTACCCTGCACCAGCACAGCCGTACCCTGCACCAGCATAGCCGTACCCTACACCAGCACAGCCGTACCCTGCACCAGCACAGCCGTACCCTACACCAGCATAGCCGTACCCTGCACCAGCACAGCCGTACCCTGCACCAGCACAGCCGTGCCCTACACCAGCATAGCCTTACCCTGCACCAGCACAGCCGTACCCTGCACCAGCACAGCCGTACCCTGCACCAGCACAGCCGTACCCTGCACAGCCGTACCCTGCACAGCACAGCCGTACCCTGCACCAGCACAGCCGTACCCTGCACCAGCACCCTACAGCCGTACCCTGCACCAGCACAGCCGTACCCTGCACCAGCACAGCCGTACCCTGCACCAGCACAGCCGTACCCTGCACCAGCACAGCCGTACCCTGCACCAGCACAGCCGTACCCTGCACCAGCACACCCTGCACCAGCCGTACCCTGCACCAGCACAGCACAGCCGTACCCTACACCAGTACCCTGCACCAGCACAGCCGTACCCTGCCCTGCACCAGCACAGCCGTACCCTGCACCAGCACAGCCGTACCCTACACCAGCACAGCCGTACCCTGCACCAGCACAGCCGTACCCTGCACCAGCACAGCCGTACCCTGCACCAGCACAGCCGTACCCTGCACCAGCACAGCCGTACCCTGCACCAGCACAGCCGTACCCTGCACCAGCACAGCCGTACCCAGCACCAGCACAGCCGTACCCTACACCAGCATAGCCGTACCCAGCACGAGCACAGCCGTACCCTGCACCAGCATAGCCGTACCCTGCACCAGCACAGCCGTACCCTGCACCAGCACAGCCGTACCCTGCACCAGCACAGCCGTACCCTGCACCAGCACAGCCGTACCCAGCACGAGCACAGCCGTACCCTACACCAGCATAGCCGTACCCAGCACCAGCACAGCCGTACCCTACACCAGCACAGCCGTACCCTACAGCACAGCCGTACCCTGCACCAGCACAGCCGTACCCTGCACCAGCACAGCCGTACCCTGCACCAGCACAGCCGTACCCTACACCAGCACCCTGCAGCCGTACCCTACACCAGCACAGGTACCCTGCACCAGCACAGCCGTACCCTGCACCAGCACAGCCGTACCCTACACCAGCACAGCCGTACCCTGCACCAGCACAGCCGTACCCTACACCAGCACAGCCGTACCCTGCACCAGCACAGCCGTACCCTGCACCAGCACAGCCGTACCCTGCACCAGCACAGCCGTACCCTGCACCAGCACAGCCGTACCCTGCACCAGCACAGCCGTACCCTGCACCAGCACAGCCGTACCCTGCACCAGCACAGCCGTACCCTGCACCAGCACAGCCGTACCCTACACCAGCACAGCCGTACCCTGCACCAGCACAGCCGTACCCAGCACCAGCACAGCCGTACCCTGCACCAGCACAGCCGTACCCTGCACCAGCACAGCCGTACCCTGCACCAGCACAGCCGTACCCTGCACCAGCACAGCCGTACCCTGCACCAGCACAGCCGTACCCTGCACCAGCACAGCCGTACCCTGCACCAGCACAGCCGTACCCTGCACCAGCACAGCCGTACCCTGCACCAGCACAGCCGTAGCATAGCCGTACCCAGCACGAGCACAGCCGTACCCTACACCAGCATAGCCGTACCCAGCACGAGCACAGCCGTACCCTGCACCAGCATAGCCGTACCCAGCACGAGCACAGCCGTACCCTACACCAGCATAGCCGTACCCAGCACGAGCACAGCAGTAACCAGCATCAGCACAGAAGCAGCTGAAGCCAACACAGCAGCAGCAAGCTCCAGCAAAGCTGATGTAAACATCTAAAAACATCGTGTGTGAAGTGAACTATTAGAACAAGTGTTAAATTTTAGTGTATACATAGTGTTAAAATAAAGTTGCAGTAATTTTAGTGTACAATAGTTTTCATAAACTGTATTGTAGTAAACATACTGCAGAACTACTTTTAATCAACTCAGTGCAAACGGCATAATACACTGCAGTACGTATTACCTGTAGAACATTCAAAACTTCACGAAACTTCAAGATGGACATAACTCCAACAATAAGGTAAACAACAAATGTAATACAGTATTTTTTTAGTAGAGTAGTAATATATAGGTACAGTGTGTAATATGATAATGCATTTGTATTGTGTACAAGAAAAAAAAAGACATTGACGTAAATGCCTCCTGAAGGTCACCTCTTGCAACCAATCCAGCGATCCAACGCACTGGAGTTGGTCCCATAAAGTACGTTGAAACGATGTTGTACTGTCTTAGTATGGGAAGGGATTAGTATGGGAATGAGAAATTTTGAGAACTGTAATACACCAAGAACTTCAACACAAATTTGTAGATTCGAGACCTACCTTATCTAACCTTGTGGTTACCTAGTGATAGTTCCGTGGATCAACGTCTCCGCGGCCCGGTCTCTGACCAGGCCTCCTAGTCAAACAACGGTATCTAAACTGGTAATTATACAAACCATGACTTCCCTAGTCCCACAAACACACAAACGCGCACACAGTGGGACCAAAGAGCCAAAGCGCAACCCCCGCAAGTACAACTAAGCGAGTACAACTAGGTGAATACACACACACACACATGTACTTGTCAATAAGGTAAGTACAAAGGTGTGCTTACAATCACCAAGTAAATAACCACCCCATCCCTACACAACCTATGCTACAACCACAACCTTCCCTCTCCCACAAACTGCGACGGTCCTTCAAAACTACACTACAACCGCCTTATTATCAAGAGCGCCGTGTTCAAGGTCCTCCTCCACTCACCACCACGAGCACCACTACCACACAAGTGTCACACTGTGTATGTGTGTGTGTGTGTGTGTGTGTGTGTGTGTGTGTGTGTGTGTGTGTGGTGTGTGTGTGTGTGTGTACATGGGCGTGAGGCACGTACACCAGCCTCTGTCATCACCTAGGTGCCTTGCTGGCTCCAGTCTCAATTCTTAAGTCTGATTTTCCTCTATTAGTGATATTAAACTACTAAAATATAAATTTGGATAAAATTAAATATATACTCGAGAGAGGCAAACTTGAGAGGCAGGCGAGAGTAAGCGGAAAGGTCCTAGCATGGGTAAGGAACTACCTAACAGGAAGGAGCCAGAGAGTAATGGTAAGGGGCCAGAAGTCGGACTGGCGAACAGTAACAAGTGGAGTACCTTAAGAAACGGTGTTGGGACCAATTCTATTTCTAATATACGTTAATGACATGTTTACAGGAGTATAATCCTATATGTCTATGTTCGCAGATGACGCAAAATTAACGAGAAGAGTTGTGACAGATGAGGATTGAAGGATCCTCCAAGAGGATTTGAACAAGTTGCAGAGATGGTCAGAGAAATGGCTACTGGAGTTCAACACGAGCAAATGTAAAGTTATGGAAATGGTATTAGGTGATAGAAGACCAAAGGGACAGAACACAATGAAGGGGAACAGCCTACCTGTGACGATTCGAGAAAGAGACCTGGGAGTGGATGTGACACCTAATCTAACTCCTGAGGCACATATAAATAGGATAACGACAGAAGCGTACTCTATACTGGCAAAAATTAGAACATCATTCAGAAACCTAAGTGAGGAGGCATTTAGGGCGCTTTACACTGCCTACGTGAGACCAGTCTTAGAGTATGCAGCCCCATCATGGAGTCCCCACTTGAAGAAACACTCGGTGAAAATGGAGTATAAACAAGGAATACAAAATAATCTTTCCTGCCTCTATACTCTTGACAGACGCCGTCTTGTCGACTCTGCTGTGATACACAACCTACCCAACATGAACCTCAGTCCCGGCTGTGTTGCTGTTCACTCTTCCCTTTCACAGTACTTAAATGCTCTAACCTTTCTACCAAACGTGATCTGACATAAGCCTCCCCCCCCCTCCTTTTTATCTTTCTTTTTTCTTACTTCTCCTATTCTTACGTTCCAATTCTTAAACCCCCATCATTACCCCTTCTTACACCCCATTATTACACCCATCCCATCCATACCCTTCTTCTTGTTCTTACCTTCCTTTAGGAATTTCCTCCTTCCTGATCCTCACCTCTCTCTTGCCTACTTAATGTCCCGTGCCTCACTAGTTCCCCTTACTGGAGCATGAACAGTAGGTGCTCAACATTGCAAACATAATTATATGTCCTAAAAGTGGCCATCAATTATGCAAGTGAGAATAATTTACAAGAGGCTATCATTCATACCGACGCTAAATCTTCGCTCCAGACATTGTTATCCAACTAGCAAAGAGATAATATAAAACTCATCACAGAAATGCTACATACAGGAAACGAAGCACACAATCTAGGGCTGTCAATCACTACTGTTAACACCACGATCAAAACACCACGATCAATACTAGGCTCACTTGTCACACAAACCACACACACACATATACATATTCACACACACAATCATGGTAGCGTTACTAGTAGTGGTCCAGGATCTTAACACCTTGTGTTCCCAATCATCACAAAGACTCCCTACATCCTGTGGTACCTACAACCCCTGCTACTTTTGTACCCTCTGGATACCCCAGCTCTACGGTATGCTTCCTAAGCCATCTACGCGCGCTCTCTACTACCCCGGGCTCTCTAGTTACTGTATCTTAACACAGGGTCTAGCCACATCACTCGCACAAATCCCGGGAATATTCTAACTTGACTAACTTGACTTCTAACCTAACTAGATTTTTCTCATCTTGAATATCAATGTGACAAGTGGACTGTCAAACAGTGTTTTAACTATTCTTAACAATATAATTGAAAAAGGATCTCCAAAATGACTCTAATAATGAAGTCCGGCTTGGGATTTGTTGTATTGGTTATCCTACACTTTATAATTATGAAGTTCGATAAAATGAATTATGGACGGGATTTAAAATAGCAGCTCCTTAAGGTGTAACAGGTCCGAAGGGAAACATAATTCCTGAGTGACCTGGTATTTGGCCGCCTACGAAGGATGTCAGGAACCGAAACGCCGCCGCTGCCATCCGCTCCAGGATGGGTGGATGAGGCCAAAAGACTCTTGTCAGTGGTAACGCTGCGAACTGATGAAAATATGATGGACACTGACGAGTATGTCGACCTCATTAAAAATCATCTGATGCTTCTGGGGGTTAGACCCGACCCATAAAAAACTAGTTTCTGGTGCGTCGGGATAAATGTTTTAATGGTGGTTTACTTCATGTTGTCAGTTGGCCTTTATTACAAGCGGCGGGCATAGAAGGCCAGCCTTTGTCACGGCCGGACGCCCGTAATGGGAGCAAGTCTGAATGGAATTTGCGGCAATGGTCCACCAGACATAAAATAAAAAACGACTGTTAGTGAACAGATTGAAGTCCCCCTCACAAAACCAACGAAACCAACTGAAAAAACGAATTCAAGGGTCGCGCAAACCACCAAAGGACATCTACAAAGGTTTACCACCAAAGGACCTACAAAGGTTACCACCAAAGGACCTACAAAGGTTACCACCAAAGGACCTACAAAGGTTACCACCAAAGGACCTAAAAGGTTACCACCAAAGGACCTACAAAGGTTACCACCAAAGGACCTACAAAGGTTACCACCAAAGGACCTACAAAGGTTACCACCAAAGAACCTAAAAAGATTCAAGCAGGTCACACCGAAGATGCAGGCGATCACGGCTGGACAAAAGTAGAAACAAAGCGACATAAGAACGACGACGATGTAGATAAGACACCCAAAACGGGTTCGAATCCCGCAAATGAAGGCCGTTAGCATCCCGAAAGCTCCCGTAACACTCCGGGAAAGGAACGCAAAACCGGCATCCAGGAATGTGGCGACTCACGTTCCTGTCAGACTACGGAAGACACTCGCAAAATTACAAAGACTCACCATATCCCCACCGATCTCCGGGGCGTAATAATAGGGCCTAAAGGCTAAACTCTGAAAGAAATCGAAAACACATTTTCGGTCAAAATAATAATACCGCCAAAATAACATTCTCACAGGGACATTGTGGTTGAAGGGTAGAGATCAAACGTAGACAAAGCTATTGTCAAAATTCACTCAGTAATCGAGGAACATAAACAACGGTTGATAAAACTGGAGGAGGTAAAAGCCAAGAAGGAAGCAGCAGCAAAAGCCAGAATGGAAGAGGAGGCAAAGAATATTACAAGGACCGTAGAGGTGGAAGAACATAATAGAAAAATAGTGCTTGGCCCCAATGGTAATACCATCCACAACATTACTGAGAAACACAAAGTGAGAATCCACATCCCAGCAAAAGGTACAGAAGGCCCCATCACAGTCAGGGGTCTAGAAGGAAACGTAACTACAGCAACGGCACTCATCGAAAAACTTATCGCCGATCACGAGAAAGCAAGGAAGGCTAAAATGAATAAAATTAACAAAGGAATAAAAACTGCCCCACGGTGAAGGGTTGGCTAATTAGAGCCACCATTAGAGCCAGCGAAGGAAAGATTACGTGCCCACTAGTACATCTGAAGGGAGGGGGGGGGCTACGTGCCCACAAACACATAAAACAACAAAATAACATAAAACAAGCTTCAAGAATGTGTGTGTGTGTGTGTACTCACCTAATTGTGCTTGCGGGGGTTGAGCTCTTTGGTCCCGCCTCTCAACTGTCAATCAACAGGTGTACAGGTTTCTGAGCCTATTGGGCTCTATCATATCTACACTTGAAACTGTGTATGGAGTCAGCCTCCACCACATCACTTCCTAATGCATTCCATTTGTCAACCACTCTGACAGTAAAAAAGTTCTTTCTAATATCTCTGTAGCTCATTTGGGCGCTCAGTTTCCACCTGTCCCCCCCTAGTGTGTGTGCCCGTTGTGTTAAATAGCCTGTCTGTATCTACCCTATCAATCCCCTTGAGAATCTTGAATGTGGTGATCATGTCCCCCTAACTCTTCTGTCTTCCAGTGAAGTGAGGTTTAATTCCCGTAGCCTCTCCTCGTAGCTCATACCTCTCAGCTCGGGTACTAATCTGGTGGCAAACCTTCGAACCTTTTCCAGTTTGGTCTTATGCTTGACTCGATATGGACTCCATACTGGGGCTGCATACTCCAGGATTGGCCTGACATATGTGGTATACAAAGTTCTGAATGATTCCTTACACAAGTTTCTGAATGCCGTTCTTATATTGGCCAGCCTGGCATATGCCGCTGATGTTATCCTCTTGATATGGGCTGCAGGGGACAGGTCTGGCACGATGTCAACACCCAAGTCTTTTTCTCTCTCAGACTCCTGAAGAATTTCATCTCCCAGATGATACCTAGTATCTGGCCTCCTGCTCCCTACACCTATCTTCATTATATTACATTTGCTTGGGTTAAACTCTAACAACTATTTGTTCGACCATTCCTTCAGCTTGTCTAGGTCTTCTTGAAGCCTCAAGCAGTCTTCCTCTGTCTTAATCCTTCTCATAATTTTTTCATCGTCAGCAAACACTGAGAGAAATGAATCTATACCCTCCGGGAGATCATTTACATATATCAGAAACAAGATAGGACCGAGTACAGAGCCCTGTGGGACTCCACTGGTGACTTCACGCCAATCCGAGGTCTCACCCCTCACCGTAACTCTCTGCTTCCTATTGCTTAGGTACTCCCTTATCCACTGGAGCACCTTACCAGCTACACCTGCCTGTCTCTCCAGCTTATGTACCAGCCTCTTATGCGGTACTGTGTCAAAGGCTTTCCGACAATCCAAGACAATTCCGACAATATGTGTGTGTGTGTGTGTGTGTGTGTGTGTGTGTGTGTGTGTGTGTGTGTGTGTGTGTGTGTGTGTGTGTGTGTGTGTGTGTACTCACCTATTTGTGCTTGCAGGATCGAGCATTGACTCTTGGATCCCGCCTTTCCAGCTATCGGTTGTTTACAGCAATGACTCCTGTCCCATTTCCTCTATCATACCTAGTTTTGAAAGTATGAATAGTATTTGCTTCCACAACCTGTTCCCCAAGTGCATTCCATTTTTCCACTACTCTCACGCTAAAAGAAAACTTCCTAACATCTCTATGACTCATCTGAGTTTCCAGTTTCCACCCATGTCCCCTCGTTCTGTTATTATTACGTGTGAACATTTCATCTGTTTCCACTTTGTCAATTCCCCTGAGTATTTTATATGTCCCTATCATATCTCCTCTCTCCCTTCTTTTCTCTAGTGTCGTAAGGCTCAGTTCCTTCAGACGCTCTTCATATCCCATCCCTCGTAACTCTGGGACAAGCCTCGTCGCAAACCTCTGAACCTTCTCCAGTTTCTTTATGTGTTTCTTCAGGTGGGGGCTCCATGATGGCTCGCCATACTCTAAGACGGGTCTCACGTAGGTAGTGTAAAGCGCCCTAAAAGCCTCCTCATTTAGGTTTCTGAATGAAGTTCTAATTTTCGCCAGTGTAGAGTACGCTGCTGTCGTTATCCTATTTATATGTGCCTCAGGAGTTAGATTAGGTGTCACATCCACTCCCAGGTCTCTTTCTCGAATCGTTACAGGTAGGCTGTTCCCCTTCATTGTGTACTGTCCCTTTGGTCTCCTATCACCTGATCCCATTTCCATAACTTTACATTTACTGGTGTTAAACTCCAGTAGCCATTTCCCTGATCATCTCTGCAACTTGTTTAAGTCCTCGTGGAGGATCTTACAATCCTCGTCTGTCACAACTCTTCTCATTAATTTTGCGTCATCCGCAAACATTGACATGTATGATTCCACTCCTGTAAACATATCATTTACGTAAATTAGAAAGAGGATTGGTCCCAGCACCGATTCTTGAGGTACTCCACTTGTTACTGTTCGCCAATCCGACTTCTCGCCCCTTACCATTACCCTCTGGCTCCTTCCTGTTAGGTAGTTCTTCACCCATACTAGGGCCTTTCCGCTTACTCCTGCCTGCCTCTCAAGTTTTCGTATAGCAGTCTCATGTGTGGTACTGTATCAAAGGCTTTCTGCAGTCAAGAAATATGCAGTCTGCCCAGCCTTCTCTGTCCTGCCTTATCCTTGTTACTTTATCATAGAATTCTAAAAGGTTTGTTAGACATGATTTCCCTGTCCAGAACCCATGTTGGTGCTTGTTTACAAACCCAATGCTCTCCAGGTGCTCAACAAGTCTTAGCCTAATTATTCTTTCAAGTATTTTGCAGGGGATGCTTGTCAGTGATACGGGTCTGTAGTTAAGTGCCTTCTCCCTATCACTTTCTTGAAAATCGGTACGATATTTGCCTCCTTCCAGCAACTGGGCAATTCTCCCGACATAAGTGACTCATTAAAGATCATTGCCAGAGGCACGCTGAGAGCCTGCGCTGCCTCTTTAAGTATCCACGGTGATACTTTGTCTGGTCCAACAACTTTATTTGCATCCAGTGTTGTCAACTGTTTCATTACCTCCTCTGCTGTCACCTCTATATCTGATAGTCTTTCATCTAGGGTAATCGCTTCTAACAATGGGAGCTGCTCAGGCTCGGTTGTGAACACTCCAAGGAAATTTGCATTCAGTACCTCGCAGATTTCCTTGTCGCTTTCTGTATATGCCCCTACAGTTTTCCTAAGTCCTGTCACTTGGTCATTTACCGACATCTTCCTTCTTATATGGCTATGTAGTAATTTAGGTTGCTTTTTTGCTTTGACTGCAATATCATTCTCATAATTTCTTTCCGACACTCGTCTTATGTTAATGTAATCATTCCTAGCTCTGTTACATCTAATCCTGTTGTCTTCTGTCCTTTGTCTTCTGTACTTCCTCCACTCCCTCCTGCTTCTCTCCTTTGCTTCCTGACACTGTCTATTAAACCATGGGTTATTATATTCCCTCCTGTGCGTGTGTGTGTGTGTGTGTGTGTGTGTGTGTGTGTGTGTGTGTGTGTGTGTGTGTGTGTGTGTGTGTGTGTGTTTGTGTGTACTCACCTAGTTGTGTTTGCGGGGGTTGAGCTCTGGCTCTTTGGTCCCGCCTCTCAACCGTCAATCAACAGGTGTACAGATTCCTGAGCCTATCGGGCTCTGTCATATCTACACTTGAAACTGTGTATGGAGTCAGCCTCCAACACATCACCCCCTAATGCATTCCATTTGTCAACCACTCTGACACTAAAAAAGTTCTTTCTAATATCTCTGTGGCTCATTTGGGCATTCAGTTTCCACCTGTGTCCCCTTGTGCGTGTTCCCCTTGTGTTAAATATACTGTCTTTATCTACCCTATCAATTCCCTTCAGAATCTTGAATGTGGTGATCATGTCCCCCCTAACTCTTCTGTCTTCCAGCGAAGTGAGGTTTAATTCCCGTAGTCTCTCCTCGTAGCTCATAGCTCTTGCTCGGGTACTAGTCTGGTGGCAAACCTTTGAACCTTTTCCAGTTTAGTCTTATCCTTGACTAGATATGGACTCCATGCTGGGGCTGCATACTCCAGGATTGGCCTGACATATGTGGTATACAAAGTTCTGAATGATTCTTTACACAAATTTCTGAATGCCGTTCGTATGTTGGCCAGCCTGGCATATGCCGCTGATGTTATCCGCTTGATATGTGCTGCAGGAGACAGGTCTGGCGTGATATCAACCCCCAAGTCTTTTTCCTTCTCTGACTCCTGAAGAATTTCCTCTCCCAGATGATACCTTGTATCTGGCCTCCTTCTCCCTACACCTATCTTCATTACATTACATTTGGTTGGGTTAAACTCTAACAACCATTTGTTCGACCATTCCTTCAGCTTGTCTAGGTCTTCTTGAAGCCTCAAACAGTCCTCTTCTGTTTTAATCCTTCTCATAATTTTAGCATCGTCCGCAAACTTTGAGAGAAATGAATCGATACCCTCCGGGAGATCATTTACATATATCAGAAACAAGATAGGACCGAGTACAGAGCCCTGTGGGACTCCACTGGTGACTTCACGCCAATCGGAGGTCTCACCCCTCACCGTAACTCTCTGCTTCCTATTGCTTAGATACTCCCTTATCCACTGGAGCACCTTACCAGCTACACCTGCCTGTCTCTCCAGCTTATGTACCAGCCTCTTATGCGGTACTGTGTCAAAGGCTTTCCGACAATCCAAGAAAATGCAGTCCGCCCAGCCCTCTCTTTCTTGCTTAATCTGTGTCACCTGATCGTAGAATTCTATCAAGCCTGTAAGGCAAGATTTACCCTCCCTGAACCCATGTTGGCGATTTGTCACGAAGTCCCTTCTCTCCAGATGTGTTACCAGGTTTTTTCTCACGATCTTCTCCATCACCTTGCATGGTATACAAGTCAAGGACACTGGCCTGTAGTTCAGTGCCTCTTGTCTGTCGCCCTTTTTGTATATTGGGACCACATTCGCCGTCTTCCATATTTCTGGTAGGTCTCCCGTCTCTAGTGACTTACTATACACTATGGAGAGTGGCAAGCAAAGTGCCTCTGCCCACTCTTTCAGTACCCATGGTGAGATCCCATCTAGACCAACAGCCTTTCTAACATCCAGATCCAGCAGGTGTCTCTTGACCTCCTCTCTCGTAATTTCGAACTCCTCCAAGGCCGCCTGGTTTATCTCCCTTTCTCCTAGCACAGTGA